GGATAATGTTGTGAGTTTGATGTAAAAAACAGATCAAGAAACTATGTAAAGCATACGAGCAAAATGCGTCCGAGAGAATGGAAATATACCTTAGAGCTTTGAATTCCGAGGATCGAGAGACCAAGACAGAGCTTGTTTTACGAGGCAAGCCATTAGCTGAAATCGGAACAAAGCTTCTGCAGAGCATCAAAATCTTAGAGGTAATTAAAGTTACTGCAAAAATATACAATTCAATATATCTATCTTTCACCATTTGAAAGCGCAGACCAAAATTCGTGCATTTTCTTCACTAGTGTCCGTTATGCATATAATTGAATATCCGTTTTTTTTTTTCAGGAAGGGATGGTTTGGGAGAAGCCATGGAAACTACTACACTCAAAACATAATTCGCTAAATCTCGAGCAAAGATTACAAAGCGTCGAGCTACCAATCAGAGCAATGGAGCATACTCTAATAACTTCCTCCTCACTTTCTGTTCAACTATTATTAGATCAACAAAACATCTCTACTCTCTCACAAGACCTTTCTGCTCAGCTTCACAACAAATTCCAAAAAATCCTACCTTTTCAACCTTCTTCGAAAGAATCACCACAGAAAACAACAGACGAGTCCACAACAAATCTATCTTTACCACACTTGCCGACTTTCCCTACACAAAACCACGAGCCCTCCTGTTTCTTCTTCTTCTCCTGCATAGACACGTTGCTCGAAATCCCAAATCACCCCACAAAAACAAAAGAGCTGCAGAAAATAAAATCCCCCACGGCCCGAAAACCCAAATCCCGGGCCCAAAAACTCGAGCCCGCAATCAAATACTCAGTAGCCCTAGGCCTCTCAGTCCTACTAGGCATTATCCTAGAGAAAGAAAACGCGTGTTGGGCAGGGCTCATGGTGGCCACTAGCTTCACTGTGGGCCGGCCCGCGGTCTTCACAGCCGCAAATGCCAGAGGCCAAGGGACTGCTATTGGGTCCGTATATGGGCTGGTTTGCTGCTTTCTTTTTCACCAGCCCGAAATACGACTCTTGGCTTTTCTCCCGTGGATTGTTTTCACGGGCTTTTTGAAACACAGCAAAATGTACGGGCCTGCAGGTGGAACCTCTGCAGCTGTAGCCGCATTGTTCATATTGGGCCGGCACGGCTACGGGCCCCCGAATGAATTCGCAATCGATCGGCTCACTTCGGTTTTTATCGGGCTTTTCTGTTTGGTTCTTGTTGAGCTGGCTATACAGCCGGTCAGAGCAGCCACACTTGCAAGAAGGCATCTTTTTCTAACTTTGGTCTCTTTTCAGGAGTTGTTGAAGGAGATGAGGTTTTGTTATGGTCGGGGGAAAAATGGGCTGAGCTCGAAATTCGAGGAATTTAGAGAGAAACAGAGGGTTTTGAAGTGTCTTGTGCAAGATGCAGAATCAGAGCCTGATTTCTGGTACTTGCCATTTCATGGCTCTTGTTATAAAAGGGTTGTGGGCTCGTTTTCCAACATAGCGAATATTTTATTTGTTGCGACGCGTAATTTGGAAATGCTTTCGGGATTGAAGGTCTGTGCAGTGAGTTTGAGACGGGATTTGGAGGAGCAGTTGGATTATGAGATGGGAGTATTGTTGGGAACTGTAGATTCTTTACTGGAGAAGATGTCATCACCGAGAAAATCTTCGGAAGAAGCGGATTGTGAAGAGATGGATGGTGAGGTGGTACAAAATAGTGGTTTGACTTTGATTACTGAAGATGAGATTAGAATTGCTATAGGGGAAGATTATGAAGATAGTAGTGATAATGAGGTAGTTGGAGAGAGGATGGACAGATATTTGAAAGGTGTAGGATTTTGCATAAGTTGTTTGAGGAAAGAAATGGATCAAATAGAGGTTTGTGTAAAGGAAATTGTAGGATGGGGAATATAATATAATATAATGCAAGCAACAATATATATTCTAAGAGATTTCTCTCTTCTGTTTCAGTTTCTCCCTTTGTAATTGAGATGATCTCAAGCTGATGAAATGCGAATCGACCTCGAGCATTTGTAAAACATTGTCCGAGTCGAGTCAAGCCTTAACAAGCTTGGCTCATTTGCAGCCTTATTTGAAATCTATACAGATACATTTGAGTAGATGAAAAATTGGTAGAAGTTGAGTTAAAACAACTTAGCAATGTTTATGAAAGCAATGATGATCAGAGAAAGATAATGATTGAGTAAAGATTAAGATCATATATTTTAGGTTGAACACTGTCAAGAGGAACTGAGCCCAGATTGCAACACTTTTATTGACATAAAAATTATTCAATTAAACTTCTAAAAATTGGATAGATCTCAAAAGAACAAAACGAATTGCAGCATCTCCCAAAAACCAAATTGGGTTATACATTGTTATCATATTAACATATTTCACCAATCCATACTGTTTAAGCAAAATCAAGAACGCAGTAATCCAATTCAAAATCAAAGAAGCTGCAACCCACCAAGCATGCTTAACAGAAGAAAACACATTGAACTGATTAAAACCAGAGAAGTTGTAATCCTGAGTTGACAAAATACTATCAAGGCGAAGAACAATCACTAAAACAATAGACCAATTCAAAAACACCAAATAAACTGTAACCCAATATGAAAACCACAGAAAGCAAAAGAACAAAATTGCACAGATTGAACCAAAAGATAATTCCAAATCTTCATTTCATTTCAAACAAAAGCAGGATCTTGGCAAGATCATACCAAATACTAAATTCTAAACCAAACCCACCAAACCAAACTACAGAAATATCAAACATGAAACTGCGATTTACACAAACCCCAACCAAACCCTAGAAAAACTCAACCCCCAAAACCGTACAGAGTGCGTCCCTGCCTCTTCAGAGCATAGACAACATCCATGGCCGTCACAGTTTTCCGGCGAGCATGCTCAGTGTAGGTGACCGCATCACGGATGACGTTCTCCAGGAAGATCTTCAGCACGCCGCGAGTCTCCTCGTAGATCAGCCCACTGATACGCTTGACTCCACCCCTTCGGGCCAGGCGGCGGATTGCGGGCTTCGTGATGCCCTGAATGTTATCCCTCAGTACCTTCCGATGGCGCTTGGCTCCGCCCTTTCCCAAGCCCTTGCCTCCCTTGCCGCGGCCCGACATTTTCTTCGCCTCTTGGTGTGTTGAAGATGAAGTTGAAAATGGAAGCTTTGTGAATTGATAATTGATGAAAAGTTCTTGGGGATTGGTGGTGGTTTATATAGGGGACGGCTCAGGGGTGGGAGATGATAGGAACCGTTGGATCTGGGAATCGGTGGACGGTGGAGATGGCGATCCGCGTCGAGTGGATTGGATGACTTTGGACCGTAGATAAGGGGTAGATCGACGGTGGATAGTTATCAGTGTAAGTAAGGGCGCGGATTGTGGTTTTCTCGTGAGTCAAAAAAGAGGGGGAGTTTTTTGGAGTTGGAAATTTTAAAATGTAAAGCGGCAAAAACGGAGATGGAATTTGTTTCGTTCCGTCACTCCAAAATATATACGAATATTAAATATTAAATGAAAATTAATTGGATTAATCGAGTTGGTCCAATTGGTTCCATGGCCAAAACTATGGTTGTAAATGAGTTTGATATTATTGAGTTGGATTAAATTTTTTCTTTTTGTTTTTTGGTTCTCGACTTAGAATTGTACATTTTTAGGCTCAACATAAAACAAAAAAAAAAAAGAGAAAAATGAATACACTCAAATTGGTTCAAACTTTTAATAAAAAATTATTCAATTAGTTAGGGGGTAGTAATGTAACTTTATGTATGTTTGAGCGGTTCGTTGAATACTCGATATTATGAACTATAGGCTCAAGCTTGATTTAAGTTGGAATTTGATATGTATGAGCTAAGTCAAAGCTTGAATTGAGTGTTAACTCAACCACTCGCGAGCCAGTCAATTCGTTTACAGTCTTATTCGAAACAGTAGCACAATCGAAAGGAGTGGTTCATATATAGCTTGTTGAATGAATCCGGTCATTTTGGTAACATCTATTTTGGATGAGGAAATGAAGAGGTCACATAAATCTAGTTATATTTACAAATGTAAACGAGTTGAGTTGGGTGCAATTTTAAAATAGAATAATTCGAAGAAAATATTCTACAATGTTTTTCGGATGAACAATGAGAATTTATTAGAAAAAAATATAGTTTGGTTAATAATATAACATTTTAAAATAAACAATGGGCAATGAGGTATATAAAAATTTAATAATAAATATCTAAAATAAAAAATCAAACTATGAGACTTTGCATAATAATTGTAATAATATAAGTATACTATTGCAAAAGAAGTATATTTTGTTAAATTTTAATATATAATATATATACATTAATCTTTTCTCAATAATTAGCTTGGACAAAATAATTATATTTAGCCACATTGTTTTAGNTCTTACATTCTCATATTATACTAATTTAAGATGATTATTCTTATATATTGCATTTGGTATGGATGATTATCTATTAGAATTAGTTTGCAATATTTATAATTAATCTAGCATATAAATTGCAAGTTATAATAAGTAATCTAGTATATATGAATGAGAGTTTCAATTAGTTATATATGTTTGCGGATAATCGGGACGAGTAGCAAGTTTTCATAATATACTCAAATCAGACCCGACCACCAAAAGTCCCGAAGCCCGACCCGAATAAGTCACCCTAATATACCCGACCAAAAAATGCGGGTAGCCCATGGGAAACCGACCATAACAATTTTATTGACATGCCTAGTTATGCTAAGATGATATGTGTTCAGCTCGAGCTAAGATCTTAGAATGACCTGACCATGTTAAATGCCCGAGCTAGAGAGAATTATGGACATATATACAACTTGAGCTAGGGTCAACCATGCTCAAGTTAGGGAGGATAATAGACATAAAGCTCGAGCTGGGGTTCGACTTGAATCTTACCATGCTCGAGCTACGTGAAACTCGATAGGTGCAAGGTCATATCTAACATTAAGGGATTGGAATAAAAAGGGGTTATTAAAGGAAGTTAATTGGTAAAGGAATCTATGAAGGTTAGGAAAGAGGATTTTCTTCGAGATTTAGCAAAATCATAAGGATTTAGAGAAATTGACGAGGTAAACTTATGTCTGTAAACAAGAACTCTCAGATATGAAAAAAAATATATATATAGGAATAATCGGAATCTCTTTAACCTGGAGATTTCTAGGTGATTGAAAAATTCAGGTCTTAATTGTGTTCATTTTAAAGCGGTTCCTACTCAATTTTTTAGTTATTTATTTACATATTTCATTTCTCGATTCATTTTTGTAACTCAATTCAATAAGGTTATATTTAACTGAACTGTGTAAATGAACTTTGATTAATTCCCATATAAATTTTAATGTTAGTTTTTGATAAAACAAGGCCTATTCATTTGTTGGACTGGTGTTTGATAATTATAATATCAAAGGTGAGACTATTTGTTTGTCCTCCCCTTGAAATTGAATTTTCAAAATTTGCCCCACATCCTGAAACGACATTTCACAATGCACACATAAACTAATTAGAAAATTTATGGCAACAATCAAGCAAAAGCCATCAAAGTCCCAGAGCAAACGTAACAAGCCTGCATTGTGCAAAATTAACTGGTTTTGATTCAGTTGTCTACAAACAAGTCCTCTATATTATGAAAATCTCTAGCTTCCTCACAAAGATAAATTCATGCTATCAACTCCAGCAGATATAAATTCTACACGAAACTTCCCAAAAAAGCCTTCCGAAAAAACCATACACAAAAAACAAATCAAACATGCTCTAGTTTGTTCCTTTTGCCCCGGCAAGGTACTTCTCCAAATCAGCATCCAAATCTTCTGCAGATATTTTCTCAGCACGACCTCTAATGGGCCCCACACGTTCATTCCTTGAGCCACGAAAACTACCTTGGCCTCGTCTTGCAGCAGCATCACCTCTTCCTTGTACTCGTGGAGGATTCCTTTTCACAGTGGAATTTTAGCATCAAATCAGATATATATATCTCAAAATACACAGTTAGTTAGAATACACAAGCAAGCACGTGTAGGAATTGTACAATATATTAGAGAAAGTGTAGCAACCGTATGTAATACACGTTTTATAACAAGAAATGTTAAAATAAATCAAGGGAATCATCGATATTTCGGGGTTAAATTAGATTTTTTTTTTTTTTCTTTTTGGGTACGAGATGCATGTAACACAGATATATGATGCAATTAACGCCTGAAATATGCCGAAAGAGGACAAAGATATGTTATAAATTGTGTTCATGAACAGAGAATTGTTCACAAATTATATGCAATGCAAATTCAACTATCGACCAGCAGATATTGCTCACAAGTAATAACCAAACAATGCGACAGGAAAGAGCCTCTTGCTTTCTAGTTATAGCCACAATTAAGCAGCACAATCACTTGTTATTGTGTATATATGTCATCAAAATGAAGATAAGTATGACAATAAAGAAAGTAAACACAAATGTCAACTCGGCACAAATATAATCTGCAAAAATAACATTTTTCCCACTTATTTGTGGAATATTCAAAGTGACCAGCACATATAGGTACCTCTGGTTATTCGCATACCCGGCATGCATATCTGGAGGAATCATAGGACGCGGGTCCATGTTCATCCCCACAAGCTCGATTCTCATAGGCATCCCATCCAGCTGGACATTGTTGTACCTCTTTATGGCAGTCTCTGCATCTCGACGTCGACAAAACACTACTACTGCAGTTCCCTACACGAAACAGAAAATGTTACTTTTTTACTAAAATATGGAAATAATATTTTTTTAACGAAAGTTAAATACATATGCGAATGAGCTATACCTCTGATCTTCCACTCCTATCATAGTGAATCGAACAACTTTTCAGCTCACCTATCCCTGAGAATAGCTCCTGAGAATATTATACGACAACATGGACAACGTTTGGAGAGTTACGTTTTGAACTTCACCCAAAAAAGGTAAAATATATAATGTCTTTCACCATATGGAAATTATTCTTTATCAAAAGAGAATGTATGATTCTTTAAAAGATACGGTAGGCAAATTTTCTTCATGTAAAAAGTATTTTCTTGCACTTAATTGGTTGCCCGGAACAAAAGATCAATGCATTTCTCTCACAATTACAGAACACAAACAAGACTTTGACGAATTTCACTACAGTTATTGTGTGTGTGTGGCAAGAGTTTCATTCATAGAACAGTAACCAACCAGGAAAAAAAACCTCTATGCGGGCAAAAAAGAAAAAAGAAAAAAAAAAACTTGCTTCGGTTGGACAAACTTGCCGAAGCAGTCTATCTTCAAACATATTCAAGCTCCTTTGCATATTCAGAAAATCCAAATCATAAGCATTTGAATAGAACTTTACGGGCAGACGTTTATGTGTATTCTTGAGTAGCCATGCAGATGCTATTGAAATATCTGTATTAAGTTTCCTTTCCATGTAAGAAGCAAAGATAGAATAAACAGTTGAATGCAACGCTCGTATAACTGGACAATGCATTTACAGGTACAAACATAATGAACTAAGTGGCATTCGACTATTCGAGTAACAAACCTTCAAACAGTTTGAGACTCAAACATAAGATTCAGTTACGTTAGGCAGAAAATCAGCATAATCATATCCACAAACAAGCATTGGCAAGGCCCATATTGTTTCAAGAAACTTAGAGCCTTAACATAGAAATAAAAAAACAAATCGAACAATTAACACTAACACTTCCATTCGAATACCTCAATATCCTCATCAGTCACCCCGTGATGCAGATTCGAAATCAACAGCTTGGTCCCCGTCTCAATCGACGAAACCCTAGCCCCCACTCGAGCAGGGAACGCGGTCGGCGCCGCCGCGAACATACCGTGGTCCCACTGATTATCCGGTGCTCGNTGAAAAAAAAAAAACAGAAACGCCCAAGATTCAGCATCAAGAACCTGAACTGAAGCAACAAGCAAAACACGCTAAAAGCAGTAGAATCTGACGGCGCCGAAAGAATAGGGGGCGGCGCGGTTGGCGGAGCGGCCGGGGAAGCGGCGGGCGGGACCCGGGCCGGACTGACGCGGGGCGGGTCGCGAAGTTTTGTTCTTGTTGATTAGGTCGTCGAGGGCCATGTCCAGATTCGCCATTTTTGGGTGAGAAAATCACTTGCTTTCTCCAAGAAATGAATGTGTGGGGACTTGGGACTTGGGAGCCAACCAGAGGGGTTTTCGCGAAAATTAGGGCGAGAGGTGAGTTTGGAAATTTTGATAGTTTTAGGACTGATAAATAATATTTATGATTAATCTATTAAGTGGGATCTCTGGCGTCACTGTGGAATTGATGATGTCATAATCATCACATCGGTCAATGGGATTCTCGTAATTCAAATTTAACCCCAACTTTCAAGTTGACTTTATTAACCATACCATAAATAGTTATTTTAATATATTTCAATTGTTTAACTTATATTGGTGAAAAAACATCATCCTCCATTAAATTGCAATTTTCCCACTCAAATTACAGCCTAATGGAGTAGTGTTTCATAATTTCAGTTGGTGTGTTAAAAGAGTCCTTTGCTAATAAGAAATGCACATGTTATGATTGGTGCAGCTTGACTTGTAAGAACTTGAAACCAACTATTTCGTTTACTTAAAACAAATTAAACTCAAACAACTAAACTAGCTCGTCATGAACATCTCTTTTTTATATATATGTACAGGATGAGTCGAACATATTCACCAATGAATAACTCATTAACGATTTTAGACATACTAAACAAATTGAGCCGAGTTTTCACAAGCTTAAACGAGTAGAAGTGGAACATGAAGTGCTAGGATTGAGCAAAGTCGAATAACACCTCTAAGTTCAAGAAACATGCATGGAGGTTGTAAATGAGGCAAGACAAGCTTATTCTCGAGGACAACAAAAATGATGGAGCTCATATCTCAAGCTCGACCTAACTTCGATTAAATTGATCAATGCATTTGTCAATAACTTCATCGCTCTTAATCTTCCTCTTAACATCGAAAATATTACAGCAAAATGCAGTGCCTCGCGATCGACCACAACGGAACTCTTTAGATATTCCAGTATTTGGATCATTAGGTATTGAAGTTCTAACTAGCAATAGGAAAAACTCACACAAATTGTTTCGTCTGTCTTTCTTTTTCCATTTAAGCCTTGTAGTTCGTGTTTCTCGTGAAGATTTTGTTACGAAAACTTTGAGTTTTTTCTTTCCACTCTTTTCGTTCGTTGTCACAAGCTGTAAGCTGTAAATTCAGCCAAGACACAAAAAATTCAGTCAAGATTTTTGTGTCGATACATTGTAAATTCAGCCATAAGCTGTTGCTAAAATGTTAGAACTTAAAACTTCTACAATGTTTGCTTGGTTAGTAACCATATTTTTTTTCGGATAATTGAAGACCAAATTTCATGAATTAAGCATCAATGTTGCCTAATTAAACACAATTTCTTAAGATAATTGAAGGCTAATATTCATGAATTTATGCCACAAAATAAACCAAGTAATAAAAAAAAGTGTCATTAAATAAATTACAAATTTAACCAACATACCAAATGGCATAAAATTCCTTGACAAATAAAAAAAAAAATTATATTGAAAAATCAGAAACCAAAAGAAACCGATCATAACTGCTCATCATCATCCTCAGCCTCCCACAAGCCCACGGCTTTAATCACGCAAGCCGAACCGGCCACGATCACACCAGCAAAAACCGGCGGTACAAACATATCCAGCACGGACCGCTTGAAAAACCGGCCGGGAAAGCAGAAAATCTCGGACGGAATATCTAACGGCAGCCTGACGGAGCCCGGCTCGCGGCACGCCCGGGATGACGGCGAGGCCGGCCGGACGGTGGAGAACACGAAGGCCACCTCCGGCGTGAACGACGCCACGGCCACCGTCACCGTCAGGACGGCCGTCCACGCGGCGGCGTAGACCAGCAGAGGCCACCGGAGGCGGGGAAGGCGGCGGAGCAGTGGGCCGCAGAAACTGAAGCGCATTTTCGCGGGGAAATTTGAGGGCGCTGGCCACAGGTTAAGGCCTAAGGGATCTGTGGTTTTTAATGCTCGACTTTTTGGGGGTTTTTTTAATGGAAAATGGGAAGGTTAATTGGTTTGAAAGGGGTTTTGCTGAACCTAATTTCAGCCAAGTTTGGTGAAGAGAGAATATTAATGGAGGATTGGTTGAGTTGGTTAAGGGTGTGAGCGATGAGAATGCCGCCATGAGAGTTGACTGGCCGCAATTTTCAATTAGAAGGGCCAAAAGCTCGTCTAAGATGTGGGCTTTTCGGGCCGATCAGAGTGTCAAACTCAAAATAACCGGTGGGTCAGCCCATGGTCAATAAGATTTTTGGGCCGGTCAGCAGTCTAAAACCGACAGGTCGACGGACCAACAAGGCCCGTTGGCCATGTTTATATTGTATTGATTTCGGGATTTTAGAGCATTTTAAGAGGCAAAACATTGGATGAAATTTCACGTGATCAATTATTGGGGTTCCAAAATACCATTCCAATTAAGGTACCAACTGGACCATGGCCCAAAACTCAGTAGCTGCAAATATATCCGCTCTAAATGATTTTTTTATTAACGATAGTAAATTTATAAAAAAAATTGTATAATTAGTTGTTAGTAATATTTTAAGTTTGTATTAAAGTAGTATTTAAATAAAATAATTAAAATTAATTTCATATAAAAGTATGAGAGAGGTGATGCGAGGTGATGGTTAGTTAAAATCATGTGAGTAGATTAATAATGAATTAAAATTGATATAATGCGTAAGAATGGTTGATTGGTATTGCTTAATTATATCAATAATAATATTGAAAATAGTATAATTGAGTTAGATTAGTTAAGATTACACAACTGACCCATCATATATTTTTACTAAAAAAACGCATATTTTACTATTAAAGGTCATACATTTTAAAGTATAATACATGTCTGATAGACAGTTACAACAATGAATTTGTGGGATTCTACATTGTAAGACTATCAAATATGAACACCTTTATTATGTACAAATGACATGCAACAGACATTACATGAGCATACAAAAACACATTTGGAGGTTCTCAGAGCAGAAAACCAATAAATCAATAAAAATAAATAAATAAATAAAAGATGAAGGAAAGAACAAAGATGCGACCACGTGAAGCTCAAGAAGCGCGGCTCGAAAAAGCCCTTTCCACTTTGAGCGCAAGAAAAAGAAACGCTACAACCGATATGCAAAGAGCCACGAGCATAATCACAACCATCGTTTGCAAGGATATTGACGTACTTATGAAAAAGATTATAGCTATCGACACACTTTGCCACAGCTTTAGCTGTGCAAATGCTCCTTCCTGCAAACATAACCAAGATCTAAGACTAAAAAAAAAAAAGATTGTTTAAATAGAAATACATTTTAAGTACCAGATCATGTTTAAATAGAATCCCTAGCAATGCACTCAGCTGTGTGTTGAGAATTCCATCACCAATGCCCCATAATGCACCAATCAGAAGTGGGACCAAAGTACCGAGTAGTCCGCTACTCACACTGAAGATTAAGGCGAAAAGAAGGAAATAAAATATTTTTGAAAAGCTCTGATTTGATAATGATACCTCTCTGGACTTTGATTAATTAATTAATTAGTTATGATTTTCTATAAGTCCTGAGAGTTGATGAGGGGTACTTATGTTATAATACCTATACTTTAGCAGAATCCAAAGCAGTACAATGATTTGGATTAAAGCTCCGCCTGAGACTATTATCGTGATTGACGAGAGGCCGGAAGTAAGCCGACCGGAAGCTAGCGAACTCTGTAAAAAATGTTAAAAGTGACAATTCACTACATTTATATATATATCACATGAGAACTAAGCTCAAGAAGACGTGATTGTAACAAGAGATTTCTACAAATTATTTCATATCTGCATAACTGTGGCAAAAGGAAACTCCATATCACTATCAGCAAGAAAAAACGACTTAAAAAAGATAAGATGACATGCCCATGAAATAAATCTGTTTTTCNGGAAAAAAAAACAAAAAAAAAGAAAAAAAAAAAGATCATTTAACTGCAGAAACAGAAGATGAGACTGAGACTTAAATGATTTACAAAGGTTTTACAAAGGTTCACAGTTCATTATTTACCACACAAACGCTTGTTGTAATCCCGAGTATGCCATAAGTGGAATCACCAAAAGGATCCGTTTGTCGAGCAATAGTTTCAAGATAGACTTTAACAAAGAACCCACAGATGTAACTGAGGACTTATCTTGCAGCCTTTCTTCTTTACCATTTCTTTTCCTCAAGAAGCACATAAGGATTATACCTAAAGTCATGCTAAATAGAAACACAATGTAAAGAAAAGTCGTGCCTCCAGTACCTCCTCCCTGCAATTCATTTAATCATATAAATTAACTGATAACACGATAAGATCAATTCTATTTCTCTTTCAAATATAATTTAGCAAGAGCATGCATATTTTCTAGTCCATATTGATAAAATCTGCATTACCTTTTCATCTCGTACCATAGCAAGAGTGATGAGGTTGCCAAGAAACTGCAGTTAGGCAGAATTTTCATTGTCATATTAACAAAAAACTTTACCACTTAACTTCATATAGAAAGTAAAAAAATAACTGTCAAAGTTCTAAAGGGAATGTATGCACCTGGTGGAGAGCAAACATTCCCCAAAACTCTCCATTAAATTTCCCAATTACGGTTCCTTCATGTAAGTTGTAATCATTTGCATGGCTGTGAGCAGCAGATGTGAGATATGTACCCTCACCAACCCATATTATTGAAGCAGCAAATCCCATATATAAAGAGGATGGCACCATGGTATACCTATAAATCGGTTCATAAAATTATGAGGATATGCATATTCACTTCTCGAGAGAGCTCGGGTTTTAGCTTGGGGAACTCGCAATATTAAACTTAATCAAAACAACAAACAAACCCACTATGGTAAGATAAATGACAAAGAAAATCAACAAAGTTTCGAAATAACTTAAGCCAGCAACAAGAAATTCTAATTGTGGCATCACTTGAACACCATCATAGATTAAAAATTTAGACGAAATGAACCAGCTTTCATCTTAAATTGCGATAAGCATCTCATGTTTCTACCCATAAACCCACTTATGAAAAAGTCAACCCAAGAAACAAAATATTACTCCACAAATTTTACGTAATGAATCGGCTCTCATCTTAAATTCCGAACGCATCTCATGTTTCTATCCATAAACCCACTTAAAAAGTCAACCCAGAGCTTCTTCTACACAGAAAAAACACATGGAAGAGAACAAAATACTACTCCACAAATCAAACCAGTAGGCGAAAAGAGTTTCAACTAAATGATTGATCAATATACCAAGAGGGCTTCAAATTGGCTGCTGTAAATAGCCAATAGCCAGTAGTACCAAGAACCAGAGCATTCTTGGATCCCAGCTTCCTCACCACTACTGAAGCAAAAATCGAAAAACACGCAAACGATACATACAATATACCCAGTGATATAGTTCCNCCAGAAATTTAAATAAAAAATAATAATAATAATTAAAAAGCTATCTTGAAATAAATACAGTGTTAATCGTGCTCTCCAAATTCTGGACAGCACCATAAGCCAGGAAAATAAGGATAAAAGCCCAGCAGAGGATATGAACATCCCTTCTGTGGTTGAGGGGCTGTGGGTTTTCCTCAACAAGGGGAGATTCTTCATCAATGGCCATCGTCGAAGAACACTGGTCCAAATCAGTCCCACCAACTTGCATAACAAGCTCAACACATAAAAACACCCCCAAATTTATTGAAAATCCAAAATTAGGGTGCCGGTCACACTGACGAAAGAGGACAAAATGAAAAAAGGACAGAAGAAGATATTTTTTGGGTTTTCTATAGTATCGAAGATTCAGAATCTACAGACAGCACACATAAAAGCGATATTGATGCTGATATAACTTGTAACTTGATTTTTAGATGGTAGTTGATAATTTGCTGCTAATCACGAAAAGCTTATAAGGTGGGTGATAAAATTAGTTGATAATTTAGCTCTAATAAAAAAATTGATGAGTTATTTGAAATGCTACCTCAATAAAGAAGTTATTTAAAATGTTATCTCAATATAAAAAAGTGGTTGATAAAATTACTTAATAGTTCAACTGAAACAAAATTTGTCAATAAGTTTTAAAAACATTACACCGATAAACATTTTACGTTATATTAATAAGCAATTGAGATAAAGAGTTATGAATGAATGAATCATACAAATTAGCTAACAATGTCTATTAAGTATGCTCAAATCAACTTTACAAGTATTTGTTGTAGGATTTTATTATAGGATAAACCTACTTAAGCATAACGAGATAATATAATAAAAAAAAATAAAAATGTTTATGTATAATGGTTGTTCATTTTAAAGATAATATGATGCCTAAAATTAAAAGGTCACAACCAATGTTTATTAAGTCAAAGTCTATGTCATCTTTTTATCTACCTAGCATGATTGTTTCATATGGCTCATTTACTTAGGCGTCGTTTACATTGGGGGATAGGACAGGATAGGAAAAGTTATCCCCCAAAATCCGTCGTTTACATCGAGATATTGGGATAGGAAAAGGATGATGTGGCGTCCATGTGGCAGATACATTAACTCCATCTATCTCAACATTTCGGACAGAAAAATCCCAACATGTGGACCTGATTTTTTAATCCCACACTGTTCATACCTATTTTGCCCTCAAAATTGGCTGTGAAAATACGCAAACACCCCCACACATCCAACTATTTACACTCTATACCATTGAAAATCTTACATGCTCGGATCCTTTGCCCTAATCTTGCACTCCAGAATATATCGAACTTCTTGGCTTCATCGTTACCTGGGAGCACTTCGTTCAATCCGTCCGCAAGGTAAGGTCGCTTTGATTCTTCTGTGAGGTTTCTTCATTATACGAGTTCTATCTACACTGTATTCTCTGTTTCTGGTCGTTTACCTTTGTGACTCGCGCTTACTTTTACCGAGTCGGATTTTTTCTGTCTCACCCTAAATCTTTCTTAATCTGAGAAATGGAGACAAATTATAAACATGGTTGCGTCGTTGTTGCCATTTCCCCATCAATTGCCGGAAGTTCTAAGTTTGTGATTCACTTATTTTGGGCAAAACAAACGGATGCAATATGTGTTTTTTTTTTGCCAGTAGAATAGACGGACACGAGCATTGATTCTCCATCGATTTAACCTCCCTTGTTATGTTATTTTGTGTATGCGATTATCGATTGGCTTTGTCATTTTTTTTTTATATTATTTTGTGTACTGCATNTTATTCTTTTGTGTACAGCATTTGCAGAAATACTTGCTACCCTTTTTTCGTAGATCCGCCGCTCGTGGTTGAATAGGTGTTCTTCTGCGTCATTTCTTTGCTAAGTGGTAAGTTTCAATTTTCCCCTTTTTCCCGTGAATTTGTCATTCCGTTTTGCCCTATTGTAAACTTTACTGGTGTTTTGAATATGGGGCATTTCTCCTACTTTAATCTCAGCTGAGACGAGCAACAGTAGTGGAGGACGCCATATTACTCCGCTATTTTTCGTGAGGACGCACGGTAATTTCCTCTAATCGAAATTTGAGTAATGCGATTTTTTTTCCTACATAAGAAGTGTGTGTTCGAATTGAACCATGTTATCCGGTTGAATATGTTACTGCCAATATAACTTTGTTTAAAACGTTTTTTTATGTTATACTGAGTTGCATTATAATGATTGCCTCTTCTACACTTCTCTTTAATTCAACAGAATGTGGTTATTTGTTTGATGCATTCTTGGATGATGATTCATTCATGTGGTTAACATGTTGTCCAGCATTGTTTGTTTGATATCGAAGGTCGCCATTTATCAAAGTGTTTGTTCATTAGTTTCAGAATAATGGTTTGTAAGTCGACAAAGAGTTGAGGATAACATAGTTTAAGGTGGTTATTTTGCCCTGTTGAAGCGGAGTTTCAAATTGCACAAATAACTGCTTCACTGTGCCATGTGGTAGTGGAAATTGGAGTTCACACTAAGTATCATATGATGTTGATTTATTTTCAGATTGCACATATAAGTTTTTATATTGCACATACTACTTTTTCACGGGCTTAATGTTTTTAACTTTGCTATTTTTCGTGAGGACGCACGGTAATTTCCTCTAATCGAAATTCGAGTAATGCTATTTTTTTTCNAAGTGTTTGTTCGAATTTAACCAAGTTATCCGATTGAATATGTGACTACCCGAATATAATTTGAACTTTGTTGTTTTGTTTTAATCTAATGAGATAAGAAATCGTGTTTGCCTCAATGTTTTGACATTTCTCTATGTGCTTGTGGTATATTATTTTTCAAAATTGAGTTTCATTTCGAGAGGTGACAGGTTCAATGTCCTTTCATTTTGTTCTTTCGAATGCTGCAGTTTTACTCATATGTGATTGATTGTGTGTGAAAAAAAGTTGGTTGTGGTCAGCCTCATGCCTTGTTACTGTGCCTATGTGTAGAAGAGCAAAATATATACATGTTATTATGCCTTTTTTGATGCACTCATGGATATTGAGTTATCGTGTGGTTAACATGTTTTCTAAAAGTGTTAGTTAGTTTCATATCGAAGATGATCATTTATCAAAGTTTTACATTCATTACCTTTTTCAGATTGTTTCATGTGGTCAATTTGCCATTTTGATGCTGCTTTACAACCGGGAAAGATTACTATAATGTTGAATTACATGTGTGGAGGATGAGAATCATGTTTAAAAGAATGTTTGATTGCAGATGGAATCAATGAGAAGGCACTCTTGATTTTTATGTTCAGAAAATAATTTGTACTGACATCATTATTGCTTACATAATATTAACCGTTTTTTGTGTTCATAAATGTGCTTGTTTGGCTGCCTGACTTTTGACTGTAAACCCGTCTTTCTCCTGTTATCTTGTTATTATTTTTTTTTAATCAACTACCCTTTTAGCTTGTGGGTAATTGCAAATAATCCAGTAACCAAATTGATTGTAGATTTGGCCGATTGTGCTTGTGCTCCTAACTATTTTAAGTATTGCAACTAAGTATATTTTCCCTGATCATGTGGTCAGTTTGCCCTTCTGAGAGTGATTTACATATATCTTGTGCATACCTTCTCACTGTGGATAACTTTTTCGGTGTGCGATGTGGTTTATATCTTCTGGTTTCATGTTGTTTATAACTTTCTCACTGTACCATGTGCTAGTGGAAATTAGAGTTTACACTTTGTACATATATCTTGTGCAATGTGGCCTCGCAGATTCGGAGTGGTTGTGCACATTTATTTTTGCACTTCAGTAACGATATTTGATATGGACTACGTACAATGTTCTTTCATTTATTAATGTTTGTGCGCATTAGTGTTGTCTGAAATGTGGATTTATTTTCAACAAGGATGTGTAATATTATATGATATGGATAACATGTATTTTCTTTTTCTATTTTTTTAGTGTAAATAATAATAAATATTTTAATTTGGACATTTTGCCCTACATGCAGAAACGAGTGACGCCGTTGTTGTGAAGAGGTGGAAGCCTCGCATTCATAAAGGTGAGCTCCCATCTTGTTTTTCTTCCTTGTTTTTTATGGTTGCTACCAATAATTTGTTGTTGGAGTGCTGCATACTTAGCTTTATTTGACTGTTACTGTATGGTATGGTATATGAAAAGTACTTTCTTACATTGTCTGCAATGTCCTTTATTAAAAGTACAGATGTGAATGAAAATAAGGATATTGGATTAAAAAAGATGGTACTGACTGAGATGGTATGCTAAAGGTGGCCCATGTTTGAAGTATATGTTTTTTGTTTTAAGTAGTCTGCCATGGTGTTGAAGTAAATGTTTTCTGTTACATGTGGGCCCTGTTATAGGTTTTTTTTATTAATTTTTTGGTGTTTGATGTGCTTAATTTTTGCATGCTCATTGGAGTAACCATATGAAAATGATCAGTATTTTTACAATGTTCGTAGAGGCCAACATTAAGATCATTGAATTGGTGCAGTCTGTACGTGTTTCAATTTTTGTAGATGGATAACTTGCGAGACAAATTACTAATTCTCACTCTTTTGGAAGAGATTGTTCTTGGTGCTCGTTTTTTTTTCATAGTAGCTAATTACTACTACCACAAATTCATACTCCCCCGCCGCCGTCGACGATCGTTGAATAGCGGACTCACATACCGGTTGAGGGATAGAGTGCCCCTTCAAGTGAGTCACATGCAACGGCTAGTCGACGTAAGCGACACCACTTGCCTTGAGAACCTCCGTATGGACCGAAACTGTTTTGGTCGCCTGTGTTTCCTCCTTGAAAACAAAGGGGGTCTTGTTCAATCTAGAAATGTTGCACCAAGTGAACAAGTTGCTATGTTTCTTTCAATCCTCGCACATCACAAGAAAAACGTCACGTTGAAGTTTGACTTTACGAGATCCGGTAGAACTGTAAGCAAGTACTTTAACCGTGTACTTGATGCGGTAATCCGCCTTCACAGCGACCTAGCCGCCACGCCTAAGCCAATCGAGGATGATTGTTCAGATGAAAGGTGGAAATGGTTCAAGGTAGCCTAGCTGACAAGACCCTTAACAACGCTTAGAAATGTTGTCTTCTGTAGTTATTCCAAACTAATACTCTTTTTTTAATTCCTTTTTGTTCGTTAGGGGTGTCTAGGAGCACTAGATGGTACATACGTTAACGTTCGAGTACCATCAAAAGATAAGGGAAGATATAGGAATCGAAAGGGT